TAATGTAATTAATGTGCCATTCGTACAATCTAGTCGATGCACCGATGAACAGTTTCAGCATCCCAGAAGTTCGCTTTAACCCTGAGAAACAAGATCATTTCCAGTGAAACGGGTAACAAACTGTGCGTGTCAATATCGTAGGTCGCCGGTGCCACGCTGAACAAACGTTCTGCTAGATTGGATGCCGGAGGTATAGTTTGGATAGGTCTGTACGAGCTCTTTACAGACTCCAGGCTTCTTCATCACGGACTCAGCAAAACTCTTCTCCTGTTATCCTTCCGGGCTCACTTCGCTCTCAGGTTGTCGGAGGAAGGGCTGCACAGCCTTCTTCCCTTGGCGATTCAGAAGATGCTGCTTTCTCAAGTTGAATCCGGACACAAGCAGACTCGTAATCGGGGCTAGCCACGATAGTTCCCCTTGTATCTAGGTAGTCACCATAGTACGTAGAATTAATCCGTGGACGTTCTATACAAAACTTACCCAAGTGCCACTTTAAAGCGGTATTTCTTTGAGTAATGCGTCGAACAGAACGCGAACCTCCCAAAGCATCACATCATCAGACTGTAGCTGCCTAGACTCCGACTGAATACGTCCCAGCGTTTCCAGTAACACCTTCAGCTTCTTGTTTTCGCTAGCAGGGGGTGTAAATTCAGCCCGATTCTCATCATCACGGTTAATGAATTCGAGTAGTTCGAACTATCGGTGCAACATTTTGGATGTAGACCTCCATCTGGTGTCTTGACGGAGTACCGAGGCAGAGTTTAGTCTTAAATCTGTAAAAAAAAATTAGGAAAAACAAAAATAGGATAAAATAAAAATAACTGAAGGTTAAACAGCTCGTACGGCAACTTGGCCGATTGATTGAGCTTACGAAGTCTCACCATCAGGTTTTGAATGCTAGCTAGCACACACTCCAAGCTTGCTGTCACAAGTGACACCGCGAGGTTTAGCCGGTGGCTCGCACATCCAACCCGTGACACATCAAGAAGACGGGCAAGCCGCTTGTTAAGTTAACAGCTGTCGCTAAACAGAAAGAGCACCTGGTTAATGG